ACGAAGTTTGTCATTGTCATTTATGATGTTGGAAAAAAGTATTGTGTATTTAATGCACATGTACTCACAATCCCACAAAATTCTAGGAGGCTGAAATAAAGGTGGGCATTACATGAAGTTTGTCACTGTCATTTATGATGTTGAAAAAAAGTATTGTGTATTTAATGCACATGTAGTTGCAAAGAAACTGGTTAATCTAGTCATAATTTGCAGAGTTGTATCATTTCCATTTGAATGGCACTGAGAAGTACAAGGCTGTTATAAACAGTTGCTCAATGTATCATTCAACTGAACTGCAAATCTGCGTAGCAGCTGGAACACTGCAACTGTAGCTTTGCATTTTGGTTTTCAGTGTCTTAAACATTCATTTCTAGCATGGAGAAACAAAAATTAATTCTTGATGAGGAAGCACTTCTGATTCTCTTCATTTCACTTGGAGAATTCTATGCAAATGGGATCATGGTGTTCTCTCCCAGTATGGTTTTCTAGTATGTCCTTTTTATCCTTTGCTATGTGATTGCACTTCAAGTTATTATGAAGGTATTTTTGAAAGATACAATAAATGAGAAGGAAATCCATACATTAAAGATATGACAATGATGAAAATAAGGTCTTTATTCAGACCAATCAACAAAATATTTTATAGCAGTGATTGGTAGTGTTCTTCTCTAAAACTCAACTAAAAAATAGACTAGAAATTCTTCTAAATTCTTTTGTAGCAACAGGAATAGGGAATTTGTAAACTCACAAGTGTTCTCTTCAGTACCAAATATCTTTCTTCTTTTGTCTTTAACCTCCCCTGCACTTCACACCCCCAACAAAACGATTTTTTTTTTTTTTTCTGGTTAACATAAGCTTTTTGTCCTACTAACCCCACAGTGTGGGAGGGGCAGAATTTGGATACTGCAGATGAAAACTGATAGATTTGTTTATACAGCAAGGGATAGCATTTTTGCTTTTTATTAAAGCAACCATATCAATAACAAGCAAAACAAGGTGTCTGATCTAAGAGTATACTTTTTAGGTGTCTAAATCAAATACATAAAAGTTATTACTTTGATTATTTTATTTTTTTCCCTGGCTATGCAACTGGTTGCCCTGTATCAAAGTCTCTTATTATATTTTTTCATAGATTCCTTGTTTATACTCCTTTAAAAACAGTATTCGTAAGTGAGGAATAGAGGCATCCTATTTTATGTCTTCCACTTGAAAGAATGAAATACATTAGCTAATTTTAGATTAATGTGTTCTGTATAAGTCAGCTCTGTCACACTGAGTTTTCTGATATGCATCTAAAATGTTATTTATTTTTAGATTGTTGGTATTGCTTTATACTTCTAGAATGATTTTTATTATACAATGGACTTTAAATTGTCATTAATGTCAATTTTTTAAGTGTAGTTTCCTATTCTAGCTTTGCCATTCTGCTGTAGACCTCAAAGAGATTTGAGTACCTACAGAAGAGTAAAGAGCCCTCAAAAAACTTTTAAAAGCTTTATTAGATGGCACTGCCCATTTATTAAACCATTTATTAGAGTTAAAATACTTAAAAGCAACTCATACTTTAAGCTGATGCATTAACTTTATGCACTCATCTTTAGAAAAAAAACCCTGTCTTTCGATAAAAGTTAAGTGTTGTCATGGTAAGAATTGTTAAGAATCTAATTATTACTGAGAATCTAATAAGAGTTTTGTATAAATCATTCAAATTATAGTATCCTGGCACAAATTCTTGGCCACCTGACTGGCTTCTCCCCTTTTTCAGTCATGTTATTCTGGAGAAACTGCTGCGCATACCTCAAGTTTAGAGCGTCTGTAAGTTAAAACAAAAGCTTTCTGGAGAACTTCAAAATCAGAACTTAAAAAAGAAAGGATCATAGTTAAAATTAAATTGCCTTGCTACTTGTGACATTCCTCCCCCGTCCCCCAGTCGTCTTATCTATTTACAGGACACAGAGAAAACTTTTCGTTTGTTATTCAGAGCTGGAAGTACAGGCTGGAACTGAATGTCGGTATCAGTCAGTATTAAAATGTTGGTGTGCTATTGGATGTGTCTGACTTCTCTAGTTCAGGTGGAAGGGATGGTAGGGATGTCTTGTTCAGGTTTCCTTAATGTTTTAAAATTGTACATATATTGTTGCAATTTTTGCTAGCAATTTAGACTTATGATAAAATATGTCAAGACTGGATCATTATATGGTTGATTTTGTTTCATGCTGTTAAAGGCCCTGTTTAAAACCTTGGTACTGTAGAAAAAAAAATAACCTGTTCAGATCTTTGTAATCCAGAATGACAATACATTGCTTTTCCAGTGGCTTCACGTTCACTCAGTACCACATTTCCCTCTTCTGTGGCCAAAAACATTGTTGATGACCATGATTCTTACTTTTTTCTTACGGCATAGGGTGCTTTTTTGGTGGTTTCTGTCCTTTGTAGAAAAGGTCCAAAGTGTTCATACAGTACTGCAATAGTTTGTGGGAGCACGTAAATGTGGCCTTTGTGAATTAAACTTCTGTGATATTGTGATTTCTATCATTCTGGACTAAATTTTATGGTTGAGGAACCTTCTAGTTCTCTTTATCTGTATGTTGTCTGCACGTTAAGTTATTCTATGTATGGCACTCTGTGTAATGTAGATGCCCAGTTTCTTATGAAACTACGTCTTTTTTACCTCTGACTCAGCAAATACTACGACTCTCTCATTTCAACACAGTTTATATTCATCTGTAATTGAAGAACAGGCAGCATATACTGCAGTTGTATAATTGTGGATTAACTGGGCATTAATTGTGTTGATAATATGCTTCCAGATGGGAAAAGTAAACAGGTTTTTGCCTGTATTATTGTAAGTGGGAGTACTGCTTTGGGTTATTTGTTGCTACCCAGCCATAACTTTATATAAAACTTGCTGGTAGTTGATTATCTTGGAGTTTTTACAGTTTGACAACATGATTTTTCTTATGGTTGAATGGTGATCACTGAGTCTGCATTGACTTTCTTCTCTGTGTTATGTATTTGAGTGTGTGCATTCCCTGAAAGACTGGAGCAGTTGTCTTATATCTTGATCCAAAGCTTAGCAGATTACGATCAATATCTCAGAGGAACAAATCTGTCAAGTGCTTGTATTGGCTTCCATCATTATTTTTGTTAGAGGCAAGCAATCAGCAAGAAAAAGGGAAGCAGGGAGTAGTGAGCAGACCCATTTTTGCTTCTTGTGCTGTCTGGGCCAGCCAGATGGGGCCACCCAATGAGGATTTCAGTACAGTCACAGTGTAAGAACATGGATTTTCGTTACATGGATCATACTGGTGAATCTGCAGGTATCTCTGACCAGAGCTGCAGACACTGCTGGGAAAATGAACAAGCAAGCTGTACAGAACACAAGATTTTAGAAACATTAGATGACTTACAACAGGTTTGATACACAGCAAATTTGGTTGATGCTGAGGACTTAGGAATTAAACATGATTTGACAGGTAAACAAAGGATGAACAGACTTTTAAAGAAGACTTTAATTTTCAGTTACTTCTGATCATCCAGGAGTGCCATCAAGATTTTTTTTTTAAAAAGAAAAGGATTGTCAATCATTTTCAGCATTATTCTATAAACTAAAATGCTAAAAGGGCTGTGAACTTGCCCAAAAGCTGGAAGAAATTTGAATTCTTTCTTTTGGATGCTAAAATTAAACCAGAGTCCATATATAGTGCTTTGATATAACAAAGGAGACCTTGGTGAATGAAATGCTAAGAGTATTAGTCAACAAATGTTCCTGGATGTTAGCTTTTATGACCCTTTATTTGGATCTCAAATCTCCCAAAGTTGAACAATGATGATCAGTTCTGTAATGAATTTACATTCCTTTGTTACAGTTTGAGAAAAATTATGACAGTGCTACAGAGTACGGAATGCTGTCCTGAGTAGTACCTTCTTTAGCATTGCTTTTGAAAATAAGATCCTGCAAACTAGGACAGTTTTGCATTATCATGGAGAACAAATGTGGGGTTGCAAAATCCACGTGGCCACATTTCATGCAGATCTTCTAGAAACAGATAGGATTGATCTATTTTTTTTTTCCTGAAATGTGCCTGAATATGACTATATAGGCTCTTAAGAGTGTATTATGAAAAGTATCTTACAGTAAATGTGCACAATTGCAGAAGAGGTCTTTTTGCCAGTAATACATTTCCATCCATCTCTTAATACTTTTAATTTTGAAAAAAGGTTGGTTAGAGAAAAGTTGTCCTCTTGGGACATTTATCACTGGAAAAAATATTTCCTGGAAAAAGGATTTGCTGGTCAAACCTTCTTACGAATATGCAGAAATATGTAATGTGCATAGTGGTGCAGAATTTATTATAATTACCTGATTAATAAGTAATTTTGACATTATATCTGTATATATGTGGCCAGGAATGCTCCTGTGCACTGGAATACAATTATTTATGTTAGCAAATTGTTGAAGTGTTCATGTGTCTCAACTTTTCCTGTGACTGTAGAGATTTTTTTAAATTGGAAAACACAAAATATTTGTAGTCTTGAGTTCAAGTTTCTAGTGTGATCGTAGTGGTGAACATGCTTCAGTTCTGAAACAGGCTTCTGGCTGTGATTCATAAAGACTTGGAGTTTTCAGACTTTCAGCCATGCTACGGTCCCTCTTTTCCTCTGTTCTTTTCAGGCTATTAAGCAGGTAGTGTGCTGAGTAGGTATTTTAGAGTCACGTTTAAGTTAACTGTGATTTATTTTTTTTAACTTTAGGAATAGATGCCTGGATTTCTGAAACTTGGACATATCAATAAATAATAAGTTAACCTCTGTAGCATCCTTTTAACACATTTTTAGTGCTGTTATCTCATTTTTGCAGGTGCTTTAAGTATAGAAGAATTAACTGTCTAAAACTATAGAGTGATATGAGTCCGTTTGCACTTTCAAAACTTCTTATTCAGCGACAACATTCCTTCTCATTCCTTCTTATGTTTCTCCTCTGTGCTTATTTACTTTAGGTAATTGTCAAATCTGGACCAGGTACCTTCCTCAGCCTGGCTGTATATGATGATTATATCTTTTGGTCAGATGGAGTGAGGAGAGCTATTCTGCGTTCCAGTAAATATACAGGAGGAGATACAAAAGTTCTTCGCTCTGACATCCCGCATCAGCCCATGGGCATTATTGCTGTGGCCAATGACACTAACAGCTGTAAGTTATAAAGCAAGATCGATTATTTTGATAATTCCAGTGTAATTCATTTCAAGAATGATTTTAAGCATTTACTTGGTCTTAACCAAGTTAAAACATTTCAGGGTGTTTTAGAAATTCTTTTTGTTGTAGGAACTGTTAACAAAAGATGGGGTATAACCTCTTCCCCAAGTAAATAAATATTATTGAATGACCACTTTCTGCTATGGACGTTGTGCTCATTTGATAGCAGTTAAATCTTTTCCAGTCGCATATCAGCAGTTTTGAATGTTGTGGTTTTAAAAATTTATTATATTCAAGGTAACTCCGTTTGTTTATCTTTGGTATGCTAGCATCTGAGGCATGCTGACATTTTCATCTGACTGATAAAACTTGAATCAATTGCCCGTGAATCTGAGATATGGTGATCTTTGCTCTCTCAAAGACATTGGCCATTGAAGCAAATTTAATAAAGAAGAGTTCATCTTTTATCATTTGTTTTTCAGGTGAGTTATCTCCTTGTGCACAAATGAATGGAGGTTGTCATGATTTATGCCTTCTGACTCCTGACGGACGAGTGAACTGTTCATGTAGAGGGGACAGAATACTGATAGATGATAACAGATGTGTGAGTAAGTAATACTAGCTGACACGATGCTTTTCTGTGCTGTGATGCAGTTGGCTATCATAAGCGAAGACAGTTGGCCCAAGCCATTAATTTTATTGCTTCTATCTGCTGTAAAAATTGATCTGGCAATTCAGCACATACCAGGCTTTCAACTGTTTTTAAGTCTTATGAGGCTTTTGGGTGGTTACAACTTCAATACCTATATCCTCCTTAAATTCCAGTTTGAATAGCTGTGTTCTACTGAAAATTTTGTATTTGAATTATTTTTTTTTTGTTTAGTACAAATATTTTTATTTCATGTCCTCAGACATATAAAATAATTACAGAATCGCAGAACTGCCTAGGTTGGAAGGGACCTTTAAGGTCATCTAGTCCAACCATAAGAAAAAAATAAAAAAAAACAACCAACAAAAAAAACCCCAAAAACCAAACCCACCAAACAAAACACACCCCAACACTAAACCATATTCCTGAGTACCATGTCAATTTGTCTTTTGAATATCGTCAGGGATGGTGCCTCAACCACTTCCCTGGGCAGCCCATTCCAATGCCTGATAGCCCTTTCAGTGAAGAAATATTTCCTAATATTCAACCTGAACCTCCCCTGGTGCAACTTGAGGCCATTTCCCCTTGTCCTATTGCCTGTAACTTGGGAGAAGAGACCGACCCCCACCTCTCTACACCCTCCTTTAAGGTAGTTGTAGAGAGCAATAAGGTCTCCCCTCAGCCTCCTCTTCTCCAGGCTGAACACCCCCAGCTCCCTCAGCCTCTCCTCATAAGACTTATTCTCCAGACCCCTCACCAGCTTTGTTGCCCTAATTGCAACTTATTAACCAGCTGTTGCATTTAATCATGTAAAACTGGTGTTTTAGTAATTGGGGAATATATCACTTCAAGTTGGCAGACTCCTTGGAGACTGGTTTTGTTGCAGAATATTCTGTATTACACTCTTCTAAGTTCTTCTCGCATCTTTCCATACTTCCTCTGAACCAATATGTCTCAGCACATGATAAAGAAAATATGAGAACTTTTCATAGCTCAGAAGTGGTTTAGTATATATGGTCATCCATTTCAGCTTTTTTAGATCACACTATCCCTGCACAGAATTGATGTTTATGAACATGGAAGTATGTGCTGTTAATTTAGAAGGATATGGTGTATTTACATACTTTGCAGTCTTCTGTCTTTTCTAATAATTTGGAGAAAATCTCTGTCACTTTGCTAATGCTGTGCCTTAGCAGAAGTGAATTAACTGGAAAGCTTTGGGCTGTTTCCCCAGGGATGATCCACATTCATAATGTGAAACATGAATTTGTGCTTCTCCCCTCAACAAGTGTAGCTGGCTCGATTTGCAGTGGAAAGAGAGCCAGGGGGAAAGAGTGCGGTTCCTTAAGTCTTTGTTAATGTCACTGTGTTATACGTCTTCTGTCACAGTTAGAGATCCCTTCCATATTCCAGTGGTTTATTAAACCTTTACCTCTGCAAGGCAGAAATCCCATCTCTCAGATCAAGTTCTCCCCTCCCATATCTGTGGGCCAAACGCGCCTGTTCTGCTGCTTCACTTTAATAGCTTTGATCCACCTGCTTTCTCTGAATCAATTTTTTAAATCATAACAGTAAAGAGACACTATAACATTCAGGATAAAGTATATTTAAGTTTTGTATATGATTTCGGAAGATTTACTGTCCTGATAGAAGCTTAGACAGTTTATCTGCTTCAGCCTCTTCTGCTGCACTCTGTCACTCCTGAACAGCCTAAGAAGTGGCTTTTCTTCTACTGATACAGAAACACTTTTAAACTGCTGGTCTGTATATGCAGAACTGTGTTGGTGTGCAATATGAAGGGATGCAGTCCTTCACTGACATACCTGTGCTGGCTATTTTGCAAACCTACTCCTTTCTTAATAGAGCTTATTTTGGTCATGCCACTGATACTTGTCATGCTGGAATGATATTGGGCTTTCCTGGTACACCTGAGTCAATAGTATTTTCATATCACTGTTTTCATAACAGGAAAGAATACTGTTTAATGATCGGTAGAAGAAGAGCAAGACATGTACTTCTGCTGAAGACAGTCTTATTTTCCCTCCCACCATATGCATTTCATCAGCAATAATGGTTGTGTAATGGTGACTTACCTAACTTGCTCGACTGGGAATCAGGATTTCTTGGTTTGAGACCTAGTTTTAGTTAAAGAGTACTAGTGAGGACAGAAGACTGTCGTGAGGGAAAGGGTAGAATTAGACCTTTAAGTATCGGTGTGCTTTTAAATTGGCTTTAAATTGGCTTAAGGTCCTTAGTCTGGACCCCAGTCCTTTAGAATCAGATTCTTACGTTCAGAAGCTTCATAGTTCACCTTCCACCTTTACCCCTGACTCACACATACATGTTGTTAGTTGTTAACTAAATCTTTACATAGTGCATTGTGATGTCACCGAGATTTCACAGAAAGACCTGGTTCTGTAATTAAATATATGGAAGTATGTGGGTGAAAACTCTTGTCCTTCACAACAAGGAATATGCAGCTGATCTAGAGTCAAGGTGCAGTAATAAAGTAGCGTACAACTAACCTGTATTACTTTTACAGCTCTTACTCAAAAACTGCTTTGTCTAGCTGTATAATTGAGATACAATTAATTTTACAGGTGATTTGCAGTGATAAAGATTTCAATTGAAACCATAACACTGTTTCAGAGTAGCAGATTTTTAGTCTAGTAACAGAATCCAGTCATCAATTGAGATTGTATGGACAGGAATCTGATTGTTAATGGTTCAAAGATATTAATTAAGACTTTACTACTTTACAAAAAGAGATTTTCCACTAGAGCCAAATGTTTCCGCATCCTGCAGATGGAACATTACCACCAGGCTTACATCATCCCCTTATTTCACACTTCCATGCTGTCAAGTTTTATTGAATTTCACCATTTAAGACACCTCTCGGAGCTGGAAAAATTCCTTAAGTTCTGTTGCCTACCAATCTGCATTTGGTCTCGTGGGGTAGGTCCAGGACTTGCTCAGCTGGAATTCTCCCATCCCTTTACCCATGAGTTAGAGTATAGTAAAGTACAGGAATTATTAAAGTCTTGGAATTAACTGCTGCCACCTTCTCTGAAGGAATTTTTCCATCGTTGCTAGGCCAGCAAGAGCCTAATGCAGTTTTTTACTTCCTCATAGCAGGGCAGAAACCTCCTTGTCTTATTAAGAAGATCAAATTGTGGCAGGTTAAAAGTATTTCAAGGCTTGGTTAAGTTATTTGTATCATTGTCGTGGTTTAACCCCAGATGGCAAATAAGCGCCACCCCAAAACCAGCACAATCACAAACATTTTGGTTTCCTAGATTAATTAGAATCAGAGAAAATACAAAGAAGAGGTGGAATTCTTAATGTCTGGAGCAATAAGGAGACAAATCGTTCACAGATCCTCATTTTACCTTCATTAGATATAATGGACATTATTTATTTCATGTAATGACATAAACACATGGCATGAATGCAATAGCAGTCCTGGTTTGTTTGGAGGTGGGAGAGAGAAGGATGGCTTCTGGCATCTCAAAGAGGTTGAAAAATCACAACCAAGATGAAAAACATAACTGCTGTTATGGTAGTAAAATTTCTTAGTTATGATTTTTACATATCTGAGATAGATAAAGGTATCTATATGCACCCATTGTGTCTTGTCTAACAAAAGATCGTATGAGTTAATGAAGCTGAACCATAATTACAGCACTTTTTCTCACCTGTTTCTTTGCCTTGTTGAGGCGGTGATGAACGGTGGAAGTCAAACTTCAGCAGATAAATTCATACATCCAATAATTTATTTATAATGTAATATGGCATTTATACTTTCGAAAAGTATTAAAAATTTAAAAATTGCTGTTAGATGAAACTGTGTATAAATCCTCATCTAGACCATGATGTAAGACTCCCATCTTCTAAGGTGTTGCAGAACGTTTGCAGGAAATGTTGATCTGAGTTGTTAGTTTAAAAAAAAAAAAAAAAAAAAAGGGGAATTTGAAACATTAAATGTTGGCCTTTGCCTTGTTGAGGCGGTGATGAACGGTGGAAGTCAAACTTCAGCAGATAAATTCATACATCCAATAATTTATTTATAATGTAATATGGCATTTATACTTTCGAAAAGTATTAAAAATTTAAAAATTGCTGTTAGATGAAACTGTGTATAAATCCTCATCTAGACCATGATGTAAGACTCCCATCTTCTAAGGTGTTGCAGAACGTTTGCAGGAAATGTTGATCTGAGTTGTTAGTTTAAAAAAAAAAAAAAAAAAAAAGAGGGAGACTTGAGACATTAAATGTTGGCATTGACAAGCACGGGAAAGATGGAAATGAGACAGACTTTATAGTTTAGCTGTGAGATCAATAGTTTCTTTCTTCGTATCACAGTTGAAAGGGAAACTCAATAAAATTGAAAGTTAGCAATTCCAACTGAGAAAAGGAATTAACTGTCCTTTCAAAGTGTAATTAGACTATATAACTTATTGCCAGTCAAGATTCTTGAGACAAAGCTTCAGTAAAATTCAAAGAGGGATTGGATGATTATATGGGTAATAAGACTACCCAGACTACTTATTTCTAATCAAAGAAACAGTTTTGAAAGGCATTAAAATGCTTTGGTTTTGAAAGTTAGGATTTGAAGCGGTGTCTACAAGGGTTTCCAGTTAGTCTTTGACTGAGAGTAGATTATACTATACATACATTTTGATTTTTTTCCCCCATCTTTCTCCAAAGATTGCAGTCTAAGATGCTGAACTAGATGAACTGCAAATGTAATTGAGAATGACTTTTCCTGAGATCTAAGTTCTTACAGTGCTAAAAAATGGGGGGGAAAGAGAGGAAAATAATTGCTGCAATAAACTTGATTAAAATTTAAAGGACTGTATAAATCATGTGCAGGATCAGGTCTCACCTTGTCTAGAATCTATATTTTCACATTTTCTTATTATTTTTCTTCATATTTGTATCAAATCAAGAAATGCTTTCAGTTCATATTGGCTTTACTTTTGCATATAGCGGACATTGGTTCTTCCTTAATTTGTGCTGAAGTAATTCTAATGGAAACAAGAGAAAAACATCATAGTTTGCTATCTTTTCCATATTCTTTCTCTTGAGTTGTCCTATATATTTCTCCTTTCTCTCTGGTTTGATATTTTGTTTAGAACTATACACACGAATCAAATGTATGTGCTGTCATGAAGTTAATGATCAAATTGTTCTGTGTAAATTTCATGATACTTTTTTAGTTTCTAACTGAACTAATAGAAAAATTATATGCAAGAGAAAGCAGGAGTAAAAATTTAAAATGTACATCTTATTCTTTTCTAAAATAATAGATGAAACATCCACACTGAGAAGGGAGGAAGACAAAAATGTACATGTCTAACAACGATATTTTTGTGTGTGTGTATAAAAATAAATAGGTAGAAACAGCAGGTTTTCTTCGTTGGGTGTCAGGCTGTATTCAATTTAAATGTGGTTTATTGATGCTGGTACCTGTGTACACTCTGAGCAGCTGCACAGTGCCACAAAAACAGAGTTGAGAGTTCAAATTAACTGCTAGGCAATGGTAACTGTAGTGTTATGGAGATCTTTTTAAGCATCTATTTAGAAACGATTGCGTACCAGCTGGGGTGGCTGAGAGACCTGTGGGTAGAGGACAGCTGAGCACAGTAGTTACAAAGTCATCGTCTCATCAGAATCATTAAATTTCTGAAAATTTTTGCCTATTTAGATATCTGCCCTCAATCCTGCATAATATCAACAAAATTCCAGAGAAGTACTTCACTCTTGCAGGCCGCTGCTCTGCAGAAGCTTTTAAGTTCTGATGCTGTGGTGGGATCATCTTTTTGTACTTAGGTTGTCAAAAGCTGTGTAGGAAATATTTTAAATGCAGCGAGCATTTTTCTCATTTTCACTAGGTGTAAAAGCTATTAAAATTGCATGTTAATATGTTTCATTTTTAGGTAAAAATTCTACTTGCAACATTTATTCTGAGTTTGAATGTGGAAATGGTGAATGCATTGATTATCAGCTGACTTGTGATGGCATTGCTCATTGTAAGGACAAGTCTGACGAGAAACTTTTCTACTGTGGTAAGTATTTCCAGAAGTTTCACCTTCATGTTCCTACTTTAGTTATACACACTTACATTGGTTCCTCTGTGACTTTTCTACTTGTTCATACTAACCGCTTGCCAAGATGCACAGGAAGAAAATGCCAACTTGCACATTAAAAAACCCCTGACATTGTATGAATAGAATTACTTCTATCTGAACATATTTTCCTGCAAACTTCATGTATTAGCTGACGTATTTAAAAAAAAAACAACCTCAAATGTTCTCATATTTCCGTTTCTGAAACAAAAATAAGAAAAACCACAGCCAGCTGATTTTTCAAAGATTAAAAAAATGGATGTTTTCAGCTTTAATTTAGTAATTTTGATTTAGTTTTCCTTATTTAATAAGATTGTCTCTGATTGTGAATAAAAAACACCAAAATAGCGTATTCTATAATCCAAAAATGGCTGTGTAATAGAAATCTTTCCATCCAATTTTCTGTTTACATTTATAATATCATTAATCTTCACACCAATCAGTCAGTTTCTTCCAACAAGTTAGACACAAGGGTGTCTTCTCTTTACTGTCATATTTTTCCCAAGGGAATCCCTTTCTCTTTTTTTTTCTTTTTTTTTCTTTTTTTTTTTTCTGGACATAATAATCATTAACTAAATCACTTTGAGGTTTTTGGTGTCCAACTGAGTTTGCTTGTTGCAGTGTCTAGAACACCACTGTTCAAATAATTTTCCTAAATCACTGAGTCACCTTAATGAATTGATATAGCACATTAAGTGAAAACTCCTTGTTACCTGTGTGTCTGCAGCTCTTGGCCTTTCCCTTGTTCTGGATATCCATATCACAGCCTTGGTATCTCTTCTGTTTCCCATATAAACAATTTAATTTCATTTCAAACCCACCTATTGTGTTTATAACTTTCTCTATATATTATAACACCTCTATAGTTTTATAAAAATGTCTACTTGAATTCCTGGCATTCACCTCTGCCATTTTAATGGAATCATAGAATCATGGAATATCTCACATTGGAATTCAAGTCAAATTGGAAGAGACCCATAAAGATCGTTGAGTCCAACTCCATTGCTGATACTGGAAACAAAGAAATGGATTAGCTTTCTCCTTTTGTATTCCTTAAAGAAATTAACACCAACCATCTGAGTATAGCAACTGATACTATGCATTTTTTTTTCTTCTTTCATTTTGAACTTGTGCCCCATTAGCTTTCGAATTTCAATGTGATAATTGCTTTCATCAGGTCATGTGAAAATATTAGCAACATTCCATCAGATCATTTACGTGTAGATAACTAAGGAGGTTGGTTTTTTGAATCTGAAAAAATCCACTTCAGACAAGGAAATAAGAATCCGAAATATACAAAACACTTATAGTTACCAGGGGGAAAGGTCCTTGAATTACAAGTGACAGCTTTAAATCACTGAAAAGTAAATTACTTTTGTCTGTCTGAGGTTTCCTTACTAAGTATGTGAACATAATTGTATTTATGTATGCATCTTGTTTAGGCATAAGAAATAATTAAAAAAACAAAAATCACACCACCACCCAAAAAAGCCAGCCAGCTATATTTTTATATGGATTAAACCTCTTTGTCTCTACTATTAATTTTAGTAGATTGTTTCATTTACAGTTCATGGAGGAAAGATTAAGATTTTGTATTGTTTCTTTTACTTCCTGAGGAGAGGAGACTAGGTTGAAGGAATATAGAGAAAGTGATCTGGGAATAAATAATGAAGTTGTAGCTGGTGAGGAATCTCAAAATACTCTTTCTTCTCATTCTGGAGAAGTTATCTCATATGTCAGTATAGGTTCGAGGTTTACTGGGTTTTATTTTATTCTACAGTACTGAAAAAACATAATTGCAAGATACAACAATTTATCTTTCCATGGATTTGCCACATAATTTTATAAAGAACATTATATTAATTTGTAGGGTGACAGTGTACATTTTACGTGATTTAAATCAACCAAACTGAATTTTTTGCTACACATTGGAAAAACTGTGGTTCTGTCATGTTCTAGGTCACATGCAGTATGTTGTTTTCTCAGTCTGATAAAATACAGGATGCTGGACTCATTGATCTACTAATGCAATGAACATTGTTCATTTATTATTGTGGCATGACTTCTACAATAGTTAGGGCTTTAATAAATAATTCCTTAGTTTTCAAACCTATCAACATAAGTAAAATTTGTACATTCTTAAATAGAGTACCTACTTGAGCAGAACACTTGCAGGATTGGAATTAAGAAATCAAGAAGCTATTCTGCTTATATTTTTTGTTATTTTACTCTCCATTTATTCCTACCTTGGTTTAAGGCAAATTTGGTACTTTTTGTTCTATACGATAGAATTAGTGATGTGATATGCAAAAAATGTCACATGCCTGACAAAAGTGTATCTAAACAAATGCATTTAAAGCACATGGACCTTTTATACCATGAGATAATGAAAACTGGGAATTAGGCTTTTTTTATTATTATTCTTTTGTTCTTTCTCATGGTGCTTTCATGTATTATTCTTTCTGTACTTATCAGTCCAAGTTCTTCTGCTGGAGAATAAATGAACAATTTCTGAAGATTTTCTCGTAGCTTCAAATGCATTTTCATTTCAAATGTTTTTTTCTGGAATGTTTGTCGTGTTTTAATAAAAGCATCTACATGAAATTATGTGCATGTACTTAACTTCCCAGAAAACAGAGGCTGTCGGAAGGGTTTCAAGCCGTGTTCTAATCGTCGCTGTGTTGCAAGTAACAAAGTATGTGATGGTGCAAATGACTGTGGTGATAACTCTGATGAATCTGACTGTAAAGGTAAATGATGGTTACCACTGAGGTGATCTCCGAATATTACTCTGTAAATACTTTGTATGTAAATAGAAGTAGCTAGAAAATGCTTATAACTTTATTGGGATTACTGGTGCTGGGATTTGTTTTGTTAGATTTCAAAACCAAGCAGGTGCACCCATATGTTGGGATTGATATGAAGACCAATTTTGTTTTACACCTGCAGTCCTCTGAAGGGGAGTGGTTTTGGCTATGGAAAACTCAGAAAATACAGTTTCTGCCTCTTCTGGCAGATGGAAGGGTTAAAAGACGGGTGATTTCTTCTCTGCATCTGCTGCACTGTTTCTTCTTCGAAGCAGCTAGTGTTCTGTTTCTTTGCTTCTGAGATGCATGGCAATGTTTGTGTCCTTTGCAAAATTTACCACGATTGTTCTCCTTTTTACATCAGAATTGTTTTTCTTTTTATGTCTTAAAACATGAATATTTATATCTGTGCATCAGCCAATGAATAAAGTCTAGCTAGCAGACAACACAAATCCTTAGTTAAAATTCAAAAAGTCTGGAGGGGAAATTATTCCACAATATAGAGGTAAAACCTATGTATCTGTAGTAAATAGCATTTTTTTGAAAGCACTGCAAGGTTTTTAATCATTTAGCTGAAGGGGTAGAGAAAAAAGCGTCCAGGCGAAAAACTCAACCTGGTGTTAACATGAAAGAAATTTGAGAGATTCAAAGATGATCCTGAAAGTTCTTCTTCCTTCCTCACATGGTGTTTATCTCAAATTGAGTTGAATCATCTAGAGAGAGACTTTTAAGCTCAAAAAATAAATTTAATAATTAGAAATTTAGCCTTTCAAGTTTACTAGACATATCTACTGAATTTTTAGCTGTGGAACGTACAGTGTGTTCCGGATACCTCATTCTAAAAGGCAGCAGGGTTAAACACAATACATATAATATGCATCTGAAGAGTCTGTTTAGTACACAAATTTACATCTTTTATAACCATATGTTACAGATTCAACGTGTGCCTCAACAGAATTCCATTGTGCAGATGGGATTTGCATTGGAAAATCAGCACAGTGCAACCAGATCATTGATTGTGCAGATGCTTCAGATGAAAAGAACTGCAGTAAGTTTGTGTTTGTGCTTCATGGCAGCATCTGTTCCATGATTATTCCTTTTTATGCAGCAGTTAATTCATAGTCATTACTAGTTGGGTACCAGCAGCTGCATGGTCTGCACAAACTCAAGCTAAACCTGAAAACAGTACTACAAGGCTCTCAATCTGTATTAGGTGTGCTATAGTAATTCCCTGTCTCTTTCCAGATAATACAAACTGCGCTTACTTCTATAAACTTGGAATAAAATCTTCAGGATTTATTAGCTGCAATTCGACTTCACTTTGTATACTGCCAGAATGGATATGTGATGGATCTAATGACTGTGGAGATTATACAGATGAACTAAAATGCCCAGGTAACTGTGAAAACGAAAAAAAAAGAAAAAAAAATTATTCTCAAAAAGTATATTCTGGTGGTTTTGGTCTTTTTTCTAATTGTCTTATAAAATACTTATTCAGTCAATACTGCTGCGTTACATTATATTATATTATTATTTTATTTATGGAGATAAATGTAACACCAAATGCAGGTTTTTTCACCAGTCTTTATTTTGTATTTCATTCAATTACTCAAATCATTACAAATTACTCATACGTTTCTCTGAAGAAAACTGTAATGTCTGGGTTTCTACTTCCTCAAGGTTATGTTTGTCATCAATCATATTTATTTAAGTAAAACATCAAGCTCATCAAGCTTCAGCACAATCACTTGGGAACTTTTATTAGCTGCTACTTTAGTGGACAGTATTTATTTCCTTGTTTACTTCTTTAACTTTCTCTTTTCTTTTGTTGAGGTACTTGGGGTAGGCTATCAGGGTAGAATCTAGGGTTTTTGCTTTTGTGGTCGTTCTGCTCTCCAGCCAGTACAGAGAGATCATGGTACACTTGAGTCCCAGTGCCAGGGTGGAGAGTGTAGGCTTCCAGAAAAGGAAAGGGTATTTACAGCTGAAGATTGTGTAACTTTTCTAGGTTTTCCCTGTCTATTCCTGCTCTCCTATGGAAAAGACTTTTCATCCTTATGACATGTAGGAATAAAAAATAAAATCATAAACTTAATGTCTTGGAAAATGAATCATATGAAAAACTTATTAAAGTGGAGATGGGCAAAGAGCCAATAACAAACAACTGAGGCAAACATCTTACATGGAAGAAGCAAGAAGAAAACTTACTTGACTTTTTAAAGTTTTTTTTGACTTATCATCTGACACTTTTTCTTGAGAAGGCAGAATACTAACACATTAGAAATATGTGGTTTTGAGATATATGCATGTATAAATTGGAAGAAAAGCTTCTACTTTCATGAGACTTTATGATGCAAGTTTTATCAGAGTGATAGGAGGAAATATTAATGAATTTGAGCAACCTGGCGTAGTGGGAGGTGCCCCTGCCCATGGCAGGAGGTTTGGAACTCGGTGATCTTTAAGGTCTCTTCCAACCCAAACCATTCTATGATTTCAGAAAATAACCTAAAGTTTTTGAAGTTCAAATAGTTTTGCCCTCTGAGCCTATCTAGTAGCACTGGATGAAAAGATGCCTCGTGCCAGGGGCATAGTGCTTTTGTGCAAGTCTCTTCTGCTGTCCTGAGAAATTATCATTATCTGATAATCATGGTTTTAACATCTGCTTTCTGCTATTGCATAGGTTACTTGGGTTACCCTACATTCAGAAGTGTTGTAAAAAATCAAATTCTTGATGATGAATGAGTATAAATATTATTATGAAGAAATATTTATTTTCTAATTTTGGGGAGTTATAAGATTTTTTTATAGTCTTTGTGCAATCCTTAACCCAAAGCATTGAGACTTTCAGTACCATATCTAATGTTAACCAATGAATTATGCACAATATTGAATTCTTACGTATGAAGGATGGCATTTATGTGTTTGCTCCTTTATTATTCAGAACCCATCATTTAAGTTTGAGAATATGTATAAATACCTGCAAATAAAGGAGAGAGAAACTGTATTTAGAACGGATGTATAAATTGGAAGAAAAGCCTCTACTTTCATGAGACTTTATAATGCAAATTTTATCAGAATGATAGGATGAAGTATTAATGAATTTGAGCAACCTGGCGTAGTGGGAGGTGTCCCTGCCCATGGCAGGGGGTTTGGAACTCGGTGATCTTTAAGGTCTCTTCCAACCCAAACCATTCTATGATTTCAGAAAATAACCTAAAGTTTTTGAAGGTCAAATAGTTTTGCCCTCTGAGCCTATCTAGTAGCACTGGATGAAAAGATGCCTCGAGCCAGGGGCATAGTGCTTTTGTGCAAGTCTCTTCTGCTGCCTCGAGAAATGATCATTATCTCATAATCATGGTTTTAACATCTGCTTTCTGTTATTGCATAAGTTACTTGGGTTACCCTACATTCAGAAGTGTTGTAAAAAATCAAATTCTTGATGATGAATGAGTATAAATATTATTATGAAGAAATATTTATTTTCTAATTTTGGGGAGTTATAAGACAAAATCAAATTCTTGATGATGAATGAGTTTCTTCATATGAATTTCTTCATATTATTATGAAGAAATATTTATTTTCTAATTTTGGGGAGATGTAAGATTTTTTTATAGTCTTTGTGCAATCCTTTAACCAAAGCATTGAGACATTCAGTACCATATCTAATGTTAACCAATGAATTATGCACAATATTGAATTCTTACGTATGAAGGATGGCATTTATGTGTTTGCTCCTTTATTATTCAGAACCCATCATTTAAGTTTGAGAATATGTATAAATACCTGCAAATAAAGGAGAGAGAAACTGTATTTAGAATGATAATACTTTAACGAACACAGGCTTATTGATACATATTTGTAGGATTAGGCCTATTCTAAGTACAATATGTAAGCATACCTGCAAATAAAGGAGAAAGAAACTGTATTTAGAATGATAACACTTTAACGAACATGGGTTTGTTGATACATATTTGTAGGATTAGGCCTATTCTATGAAATTATGATCAATCTGAGGACAGTACAATAGTAAAGAAACTCTGGGGATAACAAGCCTGTATCTCCTCTCCTGCACCTTGGTGTTTTATGCAAGAAAGGTCTATAGAATTAAAAATTAGTAGTATTTTTTGTTCACAGAATTCCTATTACTATCATCTTCCAGAACCTTATTCACTTTTAAATTCTAATCTACATATGTAAGAATTTATAGCTGCTTATATGCTGAGAAGGACCTTGTAGTCCTTCAGTGATCATATCCTTACTCTTTACTTGTAACGGCAAATAAACCAAGGCATTTTAGAATTCCTGCTTTCAAGATGGGTATCTGTGTCATCTCAGACATCTCAATCTGCCTTTCTCTTGAATATACCAGACCACTGTCCAGTGTATCAGATGAAGTCTTAATTTTGCCACGTATCAGTGAAAATACATTTTAAGTTTTTTGTTTGTTTTCATAATTGACTGGCTTGTCGAGTGTATCAGATGAAGTCTTAATTTTACCATGTATCAGTGAAAATACATTTTAAGTTTTTTGTTTGTTGGTTTTCATAATTGACTGGCTTTTTTCTAATAATTATTATTTAGTAAAAAATAGACATTTACTAATTAATAAATGGTATTGATTAGTAAAAATAAAACATTTAATTTTATGTTAAATACCATCCAATTTTTGCTAGACCAGTAATTAACATAATCTGATTATTCCCATTTAATATTATGTTTTTCTGTGTGATAAGCCAATTGTGTCACCAAACACTTCTGTTAGAAGTCTCATACATTTTGTGCCGCTTCATTGATGAAAATAGTAGGAAGGAACCTAGAATGTCAGCGCTAACAACGTAATTATTATTTAGTAAAAAATAGACATTTACTAATTAATAAATGGTATTGATTAGTAAAAATAGAACATTTAATTTTGTTAAATACCATCCAATTTTTGCTAGACCAGTAATTAACATAATCTGATTATTCCCATTTAATATTATATTTTTCTGTGTGATAAGCCAATTGTGTCACCAAACGCTTCTGTTAGAAGTCTCATACATTTTGTGCCGCTTTATTGATGAAAATAGTACCAGGCTCCAGAAGGAACCTAGAATGTCAGCGCTAACAACGGTCAACCTGACATTAAGAACTTTCATCCTCCCTATAAGTCAAATGCTTATTAAATTATAATTTTCATTCTCATTTCCATATTCTCCGGTTTATATAATAATTCCTTAAAATTTGCTGTATCTAGTGCTTCATTGAGCTCAAAATAGTTTAGATTTACTGTATTTCCTTTGTTTATACGGAGATTTTTCATACTGAAGAAGATTTTGAGGGCAGTATGCTATAGCTTCTGCAAAGTAATGTTGCATAAGTAAACTAATGTTGCATTTTATTCCATAGTCCATTTATTTGGATTACTTTATTCTGTCTTTCAAACGTGTGCCAAAAAGTTCCATCATTTTAATGTGTGACTAATTGCCTGGATCATTCCTCCCTTTACTTGGAAAGAATACTACTCCAATTCAACTTACATATAATTTCCTTTGCTATTTCATTCAAAATTGACCAACTTTAGCACATTAAGTTTTTGAGTGTTGTTTGTATTATGAATAAGATAATTTCCCTTAACAGTCTTTCCCTTAACAGTTTTTTCAGTGCCATTGTTCCTACAGAAAAGGCAAAATATTCATTATGGGTGGCTATACCTAGACTGTCTTCAGTATCAGTTATCATAGACATCCCATTTCTTTCTTTATTTTTTTTTTTTTCTGTTCATATGGCTGAGAAGCCATAAATATGATAACTTTAACTTTATTTTTGAGAGATAGGTGGTGAGGGGGTGGGGGGAACAAAACCAGTGTGAATAGCCTCAGTATATTTAAGGATCTCCTGGTAGAGAGCTTCAGTGATCTCCAACACTCAGAACTAGTGTATTTTGCCTGCGTTTTCCCAGGCAAAGGCCTCACTCAAGATTATGAAAACAGCCTGTGCCAGTAGACTAATATTTGCATTTACGTCATGAAACTAAATATATGGTATGTTTTCTTTCCTCACATGTGTTTTCTAAGCATTCATAAAAGAAAAATCTTAATTTACTTTCACTCTCCACAAAGAAAAAAGGCAAGGAAGAAGAACATTTCATTTGTGACAAAGTCTAAATTTCTGGCTCCAGCATCAGCGGTGTAGCTCCAGTGAGTCAGTGCATGATTTAGGTTTGTAGCTTATCCCAGTGAATGAGACAAAAATACTGCCACAAGTAGGTTATCTTGTCGATGGTGGCAGATACATCGGAAGGGCAGTATCTTCAGCTGGTGTAAAACAACAAGCAAAGTTGACCTACCTGAGCTCAAAACCTATCAACTGAATTGCTTTACAGGTCCTTTTAATTTAGTTTGAAACTGTGCTTGGATTCTTCCCTAAATAAATGAAGCATTTCATCTCCTTTAACTGCTTAGCTGTCACTATTTTCTAATTTGTATGAACACAATTAGATAAGTAGTATTTTTTTGCACTTTTAAACATAAACACTTTGCCCATTAGTATTCAGAAATTTAGCAGAAATGTCTAAGCCTCCTAATCATGCTAGTAGAGACCATTTTACATTACATTCTTTATTTTATCACAGTTCAAAACAAACCCACATGTGAAGAAAATTATTTTGGTTGTCCTAGTGGAAGATGTATTCTGACCACCTGGCTTTGTGATGGGCAGAAAGACTGTGAGGATGGAGTAGATGAATTGCATTGTGGTGAGCATTTTATCTCATTTGTATTTCTTTAAGCACTAATACACTTGGAAAACAGAAAGAAATGTGCATTTGACAGCTCTAGATTAAATCTCTGAGATATATGAAAAGGCCTTTAATGCTACATTCCAGATTAAACTAATACTCCATGCTGCCAATATTTTAAACTGTGCCAGAATAGAAACTGTCAACATTTTTTTTCTCCTAATAATGTTTTTCTAGAGAATTTTCTATTGATTTAATACTTTAAAAATTCACTAATTCTTCATAACTCCTCGTTAGAACAATTTTATAGATATAATCTGTTTGTATCAGTATCCTGTGACCCCAACGTGAAATAACCAAATTAGACCTTTATGATGTAAGAATAGGTATTTCTTTGCATCAGAGAGCACGCAGGTATAATTACTTAAAGTAACAACTGAAGTGATGTGAATAAAATACATCATAAACTGTGAACCAGGTTAAGGGGCCATTCTCTCTGAGATCTTTTCTATTCTTCAGCTCTGCCTAATTGAGGAGTGATGCAGGTTGGTTTTGCTCATAGTGAGAGGTGGTCTTTTAACTTAAATTTATATGGGTTACTTGAACAGATTATTTTATAATTAAATTGTAGCAAAACAGCAAAAAGCAGCATCTGTTATCCTATTCGCTATTTAAATATAACCTGAAATTTGTATATTCTTTTTGTTTGGTTGGGTTTTTTTTTTTGTTTTGCCACTTAACATGACTGAAAGTTATACGTTGCTCTCTTCGTGACCCAGTTTCCATTAACATGCCTCCATGTTTGGTTTGAAGTTTACATTATATATATACATTTTTATAACTTAAAAATTAGGAACTGCTGTACACTATGAAAACCAGAAAGTTTTGTGTTGAACATATTTATCAAGCGTAACTCAGTGTTTACATTTCCAGGTTTCATTACACATCCATACTTACAGGCAATATTGTAACACCTATTAGCTGTTATTTTTGGGACTTACTGCTCTTATCCATTTTGTTACAAAACTAATTTTAAATTCAGATGTTATAACCTAAAATTATTGTTAATATTAAGATGTTAATATTAAGATTAAGATAAAATTAATATTGTTAATATTAAGATTTGTTGTCATCAGTTAAAGTAAAATAAATTTTATTCTTAAAATCTCACTAGCAAAACTTTAAAAAATATTAGAATGCATTTTGAATGTTTTACTATTAATTAAAATATGTAAATAAGTGTTTTAATACACTAAAATTGGGAGGACAGAAGGGAGTGGTGTGAAGATTCCTAAACTCTGCTAGAAAATACAGGGGACAGAGTGCTGTTGTGAACCTAACAAACGCAGTGATCGATATTATTCCTAGATTCATCTTGTTCATGGAATCAGTTTGCTTGCTCTGCAAACAAATGCATCTCTAAGCAATGGACCTGTGATGGTGAGGATGACTGTGGAGACGGTTTAGATGAGAGTGATGCTATTTGTGGTAAGTAGAATAATTTTAGGTCTGTGTTGTGTCAGATCCTACATGCTTCAAGTGGTCCAAGAAGGTGGTGGAAAGGGAATAAGTACAGCATCTCCAAAGAGCATGTGCTTTAAGGATAGAGTGTTAGAAGACATCTTCCCCCGGCCCCCTCCAACCCCCAGCTAGATGCCTTTTTATGAGGACTATACAGTTTGTGTGTAGTCTGTTTGTGAAGACAGGAATGGAACACCTATATGGACAAAATGAGAACCAAACTTTTCTTAAATTCCCATCTTTGAGGTTAAACCGCTGTATGACTATTCAAGTTTTACATTTCAGTGGTGGATGCTTGAAGACTCTAAAGTTGGGGTTTTTTCTCCTATTCCCTTTAGATTTTTTGTGTATTCAGTCATAACTCTTCAAATAAGGAATTGAAAATTTTACTTTCATTCTGGTGCTCAATTGACTGGAAATGTATTAGTGAATTCTTTTCAAAAGAAAAGCACAAAGTATCAAATCATGCTGTCACAATTTCATGATGTTTTATAAATTGGCCCCATCCTTATCTATGCTGTATTTTTAGATTTTCTTTTTATAATCACTTTCAACTTTTACCTTAAATATTTTTTCCTTTTCAGAAATCCTCTTACTTTAAGAGTATTTTATTCCACAATTCATGTGTGATAGCATAGCAAAGATATTGTTGATAACTTTACTGGCAGTGTTAAATGGACAGCTTATGTTCAGAGTTGTGGTTGGTTAAAGTCATTTCTTAATCAAACACAGAAATGCCAATAAATTAAAAGGATGACGGTGGAAGGTATATTGTTGTAATATGGCAAAATATGTATGGATTACTACATTAACTTCAAGTTGACATCCATCTACTCTTCATTTTTGATGGTATTCAGGTCGTGCTGAGGACTGGGGAGTTGGAGGCAATGTCTGTTTGAAAGGGAAGATTTCTTTCTGCCTCTTTCTTTTACAGTTGTTCAGAATTACTTCTTTTATTGTCTTGACTTTTAATACATTGTCATTTTATAATTAGAAGAAAGCCCACTAATACAATTGTAGGCCATGTCTTGAACAGGTTAAAATTCACACCGGTTACGAAGAGGGGAGAGTTAAGGTTGTATTTCTTCTTAGGAAAAGGAGGCAGATCTAGATGACTTCAGATTTTTCAGTCTTAAAACATCAATATTTTTTTTTAACATGAAGTTTAATTGTAGAAGTATCGAACAATAAATGGTAAATGAGTATAAATAAACAAATTCTGTCTCTCTTGCATAATAGCAGAAAAAATCAAATTTTTGAATTTGTTTTACTATTTTATTAGTTTCTAATTAAAATTAGTAGAAAATACACTGTCTCTTTTTTAGTGAAGTATATTTAACTTATCTAAGAGAATTCATTAAGTGATTGCACAACAGTTTAATTCTGAGCAGAGTAAAATTAATCCTAGGATATAATCTTATCTAGAGAAAAACCGGTTTAAGAAAAAAATAAATTAGTCAAAAAATATGTTGAGTTACTGGCATTAGAACTGTCAGATATTTTCCCACTCCCACTACTGTTGTACTTGGTACACATTGTTCTATTCTACATGGGGTTGACTCATGCAAGTTTTGAAAAACTTTAGCCTCTTGGCTTAGTGTATAGTGATGTAAGATGAGTTCCTTTGTTCGGTCAGTCCAAATGTGCAGTCAAAACAGAGAGACCAAAATTGGTTTGAAAAGTTATTCTGTTTGATGGTTTTCTTGAAGCAAGGTAAATTAAATTTCCCTGCGGAAAACTGGAAATGGAAATTGGAAAGAATGAAACAAATAGTAGATTGTCAATTTTTTTTTTGTAAAATGAAGTCTTAGTATGTTTATTGTACTGTGGAGAACCAAATTTTTCAGTTTTATTTTAAAATAAAATCCCCTTAGTCATTAACGATTTCCTTAAAAAAAAAAAAAAAATCAGTTAGAATGTGTTCAGGACTCACAAGTAATGTTTTTTTAGGTTCCGTGACCTGTGCAGCAGATACATTCAGTTGCTTGGGCTCCCACGCCTGTGTTCCCCAGCACTGGCTTTGTGATGGTGAGAGAGACTGTCCTAATGGCAGTGACGAACTTTCCACAGCGGGCTGTGGTACGTTGGCATGTTAAAAATGTAAAGTATTTCTTTTCTTAGCTCTTGTCTTTACAATATCCAGATGCTGTTTGTGTCTCTAGTATTATACATTTATACTGTCAAGATTGTTAGCAAAGATTGATGGACCACATAGAATCGTAGAATCGTTCGGGTTTGAAGGGACCTTAAAGATCGTTAATTTCCAACCCCCCTGCCCTGGGCAGGGACACCTCCCACCAGACCAGGTTGCTCCAAGCCCCATCCAGCCTGGCCTTGAACACTTCCAGGGATGGGGCATCCACAGCTTCTCTGGGCAACCTGTTCCAGTGTCTCACCATCCTAACAGTAAAGAATTTCTTCCTAATGTCTAATCTGACTCTCCCCTCTTTCAGTTTAAAACCATTTCCCCTTGTTCTATCACTCCACTCCCTAACAAAGAGTCCCTCCCCATCTCTCCTTTAGCCCCTTCAGGGACTGGAAGGCTGCTCTAAGGTCTCCCTGGAGCCTTCTCTTCTCCAGGTTGAACACCCCCAACTCTCAGCTTGTCCTTAGAGCAGAGGTTCTCCAGCCCTCTGAAATGTGAGAGTACATACCAAGATCCTTCCATATGTTAATCAGCCTAACTTCTTCAGGTTTTATTGGTATATACTGAGGCACACCAGCTGAAGATCAGTAGGTGTGTTGTCATAGATATTATACAGCATGTTTACTTATGAAAATTAGCACATTAGTGACTATGTAGTTCTGTTCCTCTTCCTGAAGAAAAAAATGCTGCTTGTCAGGGAAGGTGTACATCAAAAAAGGTGAAACGGTTCTGTTTCCAATTTATGCTGGCTAGTAGTTCAGATCTTGACATCTGTTCCCTATAAACTGGTACTTCTAGTCTTCTGAGATACATTTCTATTAGAAGTGTCAGGAGTTCAGCCATAGTGCCACTAGGGGGTTTGTTTTATTAATGTATATAAAAATGACATAGGTTAAAAATATTGAAATATGTTCTCTCTACTGGATGCATATTCTATCTCTTGCCATTCCTGGGCTGAGTTATATTTTGAGTATTTACAGTTTTTAATGAGCTTTTGTTCAGGGGCAGAGTAGTATAGGAAGGATCTCTGCTTCCCAAATGTTGTTTCCCTCAGAGGCAGACCTTAGCTTAATTGTAGACATTGTCAGCTTCTGAAGCCTTTCTGTCTTGGATTACATGAGATTTTAGGTATCCTTGCTTCTTTAGCTATCTGTCTAGTGATAATTAGCTTTTTATGCTATTGAATTGTGTAGTGCTTTTTGTATGACTCAAAAACTTATGGTTATTTATATTGAATCTACTCATACTAACTACTTCTCATTTCATCTTTCTGTAAGAAAATGGCTGCATATCCTACTGTTCTGAATTTCATTTGTTTTTGTGTACTGTATTTTCCTTAGCTCCTAATAACACTTGTGACGAGAATGCTTTCATGTGCCATAACAAAGTCTGCATTCCCAAACAGTTTGTGTGTGACCATGATGATGACTGTGGAGATGGATCTGATGAATCTCTGGAATGTGGCAAGTATAACAAAAGTAGAGTAAACAGAACAATTTTAGACTGTTAACTGTAAGGCCTTCCTTAAGGTCTGTTAATTTAAGTCACTATTGTGATTTGTGATTCACTTTTTAATTTTTATTTTTTTTTAATGTTAACTTGTAAATTATGCATTAATGAACACAATTAGGTATCAACTTGGCGCTGGAGCTACAGTGACAAATAATTTGCTATAGCTGTGACTTACGGTTGATTGCTAATAACTTTTAACAGAATTTAAAAATGTATAGTATATAATTTCTTGTTCGTTATGCATGTCTTTTTTATATATCTTTGTTTCTATATGCATTCTTTTCTATCAAATAATAATCTTTGTCATGATTATCACTGCAGTTAAATGATATCAACTAAAGCCATACATGAATTTTCAATTTTCACCATTCATATGCATTTAGGATTTCTTACATTATGTGTCTATCTGTACAGTATATCTCCCTCTTTCAGTTTAAAACCATTTCCCCTTGTTCTATCACTCCACTCCCTAACAAAGAGTCCCTCCCCATCTCTCCTTTAGCCCCTTCAGGGACTGGAAGGCTGCTCTAAGGTCTCCCTGGAGCCTTCTCTTCTCCAGGTTGAACACCCCCAACTCTCAGCTTGTCCTTAGAGCAGAGGTTCTCCAGCCCTCTGAAATGTGAGAGTACATACCAAGATCCTTCCATATGTTAATCAGCCTAACTTCTTCAGGTTTTATTGGTATATACTGAGGCACACCAGCTGAAGATCAGTAGGTGTGTTGTCATAGATATTATACAGCATGTTTACTTATGAAAATTAGCACATTAGTGACTATGTAGTTCTGTTCCTCTTCCTGAAGAAAAAAATGCTGCTTGTCAGGGAAGGTGTACATCAAAAAAGGTGAAACGGTTCTGTTTCCAATTTATGCTGGCTAGTAGTTCAGATCTTGACATCTGTTCCCTATAAACTGGTACTTCTAGTCTTCTGAGATACATTTCTATTAGAAGTGTCAGGAGTTCAGCCATAGTGCCACTAGGGGGTTTGTTTTATTAATGTATATAAAAATGACATAGGTTAAAAATATTGAAATATGTTCTCTCTACTGGATGCATATTCTATCTCTTGCCATTCCTGGGCTGAGTTATATTTTGAGTATTTACAGTTTTTAATGAGCTTTTGTTCAGGGGCAGAGTAGTATAGGAAGGATCTCTGCTTCCCAAATGTTGTTTCCCTCAGAGGCAGACCTTAGCTTAATTGTAGACATTGTCAGCTTCTGAAGCCTTTCTGTCTTGGATTACATGAGATTTTAGGTATCCTTGCTTCTTTAGCTATCTGTCTAGTGATAATTAGCTTTTTATGCTATTGAATTGTGTAGTGCTTTTTGTATGACTCAAAAACTTATGGTTATTTATATTGAATCTACTCATACTAACTACTTCTCATTTCATCTTTCTGTAAGAAAATGGCTGCATATCCTACTGTTCTGAATTTCATTTGTTTTTGTGTACTGTATTTTCCTTAGCTCCTAATAACACTTGTGACGAGAATGCTTTCATGTGCCATAACAAAGTCTGCATTCCCAAACAGTTTGTGTGTGACCATGATGATGACTGTGGAGATGGATCTGATGAATCTCTGGAATGTGGCAAGTATAACAAAAGTAGAGTAAACAGAACAATTTTAGACTGTTAACTGTAAGGCCTTCCTTAAGGTCTGTTAATTTAAGTCACTATTGTGATTTGTGATTCACTTTTTAAATTTTTTTTTTTTAATGTTAACTTGTAAATTATGCATTAATGAACACAATTAGGTATCAACTTGGCGCTGGAGCTACAGTGACAAATAATTTGCTATAGTTGTGACTTATGGTTCATTGTTAATAACATTTAACAGAATTTAAAAATGTATAGTATATAATTTCTTGTTCGTTATGCATGTCTTTTTTTTATATCTTTGTTTCTATATGCATTTTTCTATCAAATAATAATCTTTGTCATGATTATCACTGCAGTTAAATCATATCAACTAAAGCCATACATGAATTTTCAATTTTCACCATTCATATGCATTTAGGATTTCTTACATTATGTGTCTATCTGTACAGTATATCTAGGCCATACTCAGAAATGGTCATCTATATAAATGATATTTATGGAAAATACAGAGCAAATTTTCTGTTCAAAAAGGCAAATAGTTCATTATTATGCCTCATTTTGTGCAGTTAAAATCTATATTGCCTATTTACTCTATTAGATTTGCTCAAGGGATGAGAACCACAGCAGAAGATAGGTAGCTATGTATTTTAGATGTTTCTGTTGTACACACCACCTGAAGATTGTATGTGCATAAATAATGCAAGTAGACATGCAAAGATTGTAAGAAAAAAGCATGTTTGATATTTGCATTTAATGAAATTTTTCACGTGAAGTTTGTCAAACATATAATGGAATGTTGTAGGAAAAGAATATAATTGTAACAAATAAGAACTTACTCATTTGGTGGTCATATAAAGAAGAGATTTCATCAACATCACTTAGAACTGTGTATGACATGGAAAAAAAATCTGTTCCTGTGATGAATTGGGCAGTTGCCCAATTTCCTTTTTCTCTCTATGCTCACCAGAAGTATGCTGGTACTTAAAGAGGGAACGGCCATTCCTGCCCCATCAACATTAAATGGGTCAGATCAGGAGAGCACCTTTGAAGCGAATCCCCCACTGCTCGCATGGAATTGTGTCGAAGCAAGTTGAACTGACTGGAAAAAAAAAAAATCTTTTATTGTCTTGACTTTTAATACATTGTCATTTTATAATTAGAAGAAAGCCCACTAATACAATTGTAGGCCATGTCTTGAACAGGTTAAAATTCACACCGGTTACGAAGAGGGGAGAGTTAAGGTTGTATTTCTTCTTAGGAAAAGGAGGCAGATCTAGATGACTTCAGATTTTTCAGTCTTAAAACATCAATATTTTTTTTTAACATGAAGTTTAATTGTAGAAGTATCGAACAATAAATGGTAAATGAGTATAAATAAACAAATTCTGTCTCTCTTGTTCCTGCCCCATCAACATTAAATGGGTCAGATCAGGAGAGCACCTTTGAAGCGAATCCCCCACTGCTCGCATGGAATTGTGTCGAAGCAAGTTGAACTGACTGGAAAAAAAAAAAACCTCACAAAAAAACCCTCTAAAGTTGTGCCAGTTGATATACTTCAGGTAGCGATGGACATGAAGACCATAAGAGTAGAGGAGAAATAAAATCCTGAAATTCATCGAAGTGGGATAATCGGTTCTCCTAACCAGTTGTTTCGTTCTGCTGCTCTCTCACTGTCCCACACCACCTGCCAGTGTAGACTTCTTCCTTGAAGAAAGAAGGGGAATGAACACACCTTTCCTTGCAAACTCCATTTGTGTTTGACTCATGTAAACTACAGCATTGTGTTTTGAAAGGAGCAGTTTGCAACAATAAGCTCTGCTTAGTTCTTATAGTTTAAATAGTTCTTATACAGTTCTTAGAACTGCTTAGTTCATATAGTTTAAATCAAATCAGGATCAAAGCAGGTTATTGATTTATTAATGACAGATAACTCATCGGAAAAGGGTGAACTATGCATTCAGTATCAATAGCGGCAATGCAATGGGCAACTATGGCTAACCATTCCATAACTAGTCCCAAAAATTTCTGACCACACAGAGCAGAGTTAGGCTCACCTTCTGCCCTAGCCCAGGACACAGAGTTCCAAGCATATGTGCCTGCTAATCCTTAAAACAGTGACAAATAAATAGCGATGGTTTGACAGACTTTTGGAAAAAGCAGGAGGAGGAAACAGCAGTGGAAACAGAGTATGTACAAATTCCTGATCTAATAGTAGTATGGACCTGCCTTCAGGCGCTGGCTCTATTGAATTTCTACTGAGTAAACTGAAATCTACAGCAACATTTGTTACATGTTGCTGTGCCCCAATGCAATTTTTTATTAGCTAGTAATCAAATAAACAGCTGCACCTAGTATAGTAATATCATTATAGTGTAATTTTTGGAAAGGGTTACATTCGATGAGAAAGGGAGCTACTTGTAGAGAGTAGGAATCAAATTCCAAAACGGACTTTTCAAGGTGTTGGCAGGATGTAACCGCCTAATTCACTGAATTTTAAACATGTGATTTCTGATTTGACTGCAAACTAGGTACCCTGATCATAGCTCTCAATAGCAAAAATAAAAAAACCCCAAACCCAAGGTACTCTTCAGCAGCCATTCTACTGAATGGGATGAAATTTGTTTTGAAATATATTCCTAAAAGCTGAATTAAGGAAATCGTTCTAAAAATCTAGATTTTCCTTTCCATTGGTATCAATGAAAGGGATATTTTCTTGATTTTTCTAGAGCATTTTTCAGATACAATATAAAAATGAGACTGATTAGAGGAACCAGTTTGGAATCTGCATCTAAGCAGATTCTAAAAGTTCACAATCATTCTAATCCTTAAAAATTTTTTTGATGCAGGTTTTGATTCCATTGTCCGGTCTTTTAAATTAAATTTTAATAATTAATTACTTTTAAACAAAAAAATAGTAATAGTTCAAGTTGGGGAAAGCATGAGAAGAAAATATATTATCCCTAAATTACATCTCCTGTTGCTGCTGTCAGAGACAGAATACTGAGGTAGATGAGCCACTGTCTCATCCGGGAATGTATTTCTTATGGTTCTAAAAATCTAGATTTTCCTTTCCATTGGTATCAATGAAAGGGATATTTTCTTGATTTTTCTAGAGCATTTTTCAGATACAATATAAAAATGAGACTGATTAGAGGAACCAGTTTGGAATCTGCATCTAAGCAGATTCTAAAAGTTCACAATCATTCTAATCCTTAAAAATTTTTTTGATGCAGGTTTTGATTCCATTGTCCGGTCTTTTAAATTAAATTTTAATAATTAATTACTTTTAAACAAAAAAATAGTAATAGTTCAAGTTGGGGAAAGCATGAGAAGAAAATATATTATCCCTAAATTACATCTCCTGTTGCTGCTGTCAGAGACAGAATACTGAGCTAGATGAGCCACTGTCTCATCCAGGAATGTATTTCTTATGTTCTTAAAAAAGAAAAAAAAAATATTTAGGAAGTGTATTAAAAAATATGAAATTTCATTAAGAAGATAAGATACTTGTGGCTAATCAAAGGACAAATACAGGAACAGGAAGGATTTTCTGGTTTCAGTTTCCAGTTTCTTTACACCTTGTCATCCAGAGAGCAGAGGCAATGTTGAGCAAACCCCTTGTATGGCACGTTTGTAGTGACCTTTCTGATGATGACGTACTTGTGAAATGCTGGAGACATGAGGTAAACTGTTGGCTGTAAAATCTTGCAAGCAGAGGTGTCTCACGCAACCAAGAAGCTTCATCTTTTTCTGAATCAAGCAAGCCTATCTTCTTTCAAGCATGATCTATGTAAAAAAAAGAGAAAAAAAAACAACAAACGCACATTCAGGAGACCACAGAATTGTTTGAATTCCAAGTAATGTTTGTAACTGATGGAAAACAAAAAAAACAAACACACATTCAGGAGACCACAGAATTCTTTGAATTCCAAGTAATGTTTGTAACTGATGTAATAACATGTTGCATTTTGAAAATAGTACATTAACACATTTCTATATGGTAACTACAGATATACAAGAGGTTTAAAGCTCTTGATATAGACAGATATCTCATGACAGATGATCAAATGTTATATCTCCTTCTGCTATCATAAAAAAAAGCTGTACTAGATAGCAGGAAATGCAGTAATTAGGAAAAAAGAACAAATATTAACTTTCTACTTCTAGAGTAGAAAGTTATCAGTGCTCATTTCAGATGTCTACAGCTTCAGCAGTTAAATCAAAGGTGCAGTAGTTACTGTAATTTAGATATGTTTCTTGGAAGAATCAAATTTTTTGAGCTTAAAATCTTCATTTTTTTTCAAGAGGAAAAAATGTTAAAAATAATTCAATATAATTTGGGTTTTTTTCAAATAAGTTGCAAAATCATTAGTCATAATCAGAGTGAGTGTTGCTTTGTTATTCTTACTTTGCAACCATATTTTTTTTCTTGAGTTTTAAGCTAAATAAAGGCCTACTTTGAAGGCTCTTTTAAAGGACTACAGATTATTGGAGGCATAATTTATACATATAGAATACAGGAAAAATTATGCTTTTCTTTCCCAAACAGGAACCTAAGTTTTTTGATAGTTGGTTTAGTGTTATGACGCTTACAAGTAAACATCTTACAAATTCAAGGTGAATTTTCCCTCTGGGAATTTTTCAACCTTCATGTTTCAAAATTTAATAGAAAAAACTAAATTTGTGCTGACTTGTCTAAATTTTTCTACTACTTTGTTGTTTTTGAACTCTAGGTTAAACAGTTGGGTTCTAAGAAGCAAATACCTGTCTGTGGTTTCTTTACTTCATTATTTATAATATTTATCTGTTAAAAATCCACTTTAACTTTGAAAATGTATGCATTTTGTATATACTGATTTTGTGGCCATCTTAGAAAATTAATGTTTAGTCTGGTTAAAATGATTAGTGTTCTGCATATTTTAAAGGAAAAGCATATAGTAGCAAGCATATTGAAAAATATTTGCTGGGTATAGTAATTTCTAAAACTTCTGTTAGAAAGCTATTTCCTAATAATACCACAAAAATTTAAATTACACCTAAAAGAAAATATATTTATTATTAAGAGCTGCATAAATATGTGGGAATTGTTTCATGACTATACTGTGCTGCGTAAGAGACATTTGACTTCTCTCTCAGTTGGTAGACACATAATGTATAAGCATATAAGGCTTTGTATCTTTTTATGGAACAGGAGATACTTTTACTTACATTGTCTTGTATATACAAAATTTTATGTCAAAAGTCTGTAGTAAAGTATGGAGTCATTGACTGCTGTATTTCCAGGGTATCGTCACTGTCGTCCTGGAGAGTTCACTTGTGCTGATGGAAGATGCCTGTTAAATTCCCAGTGGCAATGTGACGGTGATTTTGACTGCCCAGACCATTCTGATGAAGCACCTATAAACATAAAATGCAAAAGTTCAGGTTTGTATTTAATTTTTTCAGTAACACGTGTGACCTTTGTTTTTGGAAAGCGATGGTGTAGGACTGTAGGCAGGCAGATGTAAAACCTCGTAGCTTAAATTTCAAGTGCTTTCGTGGTGACGTTCCTTATGTCTTGCAAGGACAATGTGTTGTCAGTCCTCAGCATCCAAAATCTCAGGTCACAAAGTTCCAGCCATCGGTTCCTGTGGCATAAGATGGCTGCTAGTTCATTAAGGCATAAACTCTGTTTCTACTAAAATAAGATATTAACGTAATTATTGTCAAAGCTTATTGCTTGCCCTGAAAATACGTAATATATTTAATATACTCATCAAACAGAAATAGATGTGAGGTTATTCTTGCTATATTAAAAATGGATCTATTTACATTAGCAAATTACTGACCAAGTGTTATTTGTTTTATTGATATTTTCACTGGTATAAGTTGGTCTGGCTGGTTTTTGAGTGGAAAATGAATCCTGGTGTGTATATCGTATGCTGTTCTGTGGCTTTTCAAAAGACCAATTCTTCTGCCTAGATCTTATGACTTTATTGTACAGTAGCCCAGTCCTTTATACTGTTTTTGAAGGAAATCGCTCATTTGCTTTGAGGTATGGCAAACATACCTGCTTTAACTGTAAGTATTCTGATTTGAAGAAATGACTGTAGCTGAGCTGATGGATTTGAGTTTTGCCAAACAGGAAAAAACACGTGTGCATGTCCTCAGACAAGGACTGCATCAGAATTCAGTCAGTCATCTCACTAAACAGCTCAGCATCCACAGGGGACAGAAGCCATGCTTTTTAAGTTTTGCAAACTACAGAACTATATTTTGTGCAGAGATAATATAGGAGATTCTCAATTAAATGAAAACAAATTTGTAGGAGGGAATAAGAAGTATTCATACATTTTCCAGGAGAGAAACAAAATTTTAAAGACACTGAAATGTTAAAAGGTATTATGATACTATAACTAAGAAACAAATATTCACAGTTGTTTCATCTCACACACATGCATTGCACCATGAGAAAACTCATTACAAATACTAATAGACTACACAAAGTTGTGCTCTCTTTCTTTTTGTTTTCCAGAGCAGTCATGTAACAGCTCTTTTTTTATGTGCAAAAATGGCAAGTGTATCCCTCAAAGAGATGTTTGTGATAACAAAGAAGATTGTAGTGATGGATCTGATGAGAAAAGCTGCCACATTAATGAATGCCTCAGTAAGAAAGTTAGTGGCTGTTCTCAAGATTGTCAGGATCTTCCTGTTGGATACAAGGTGAATAATTACAAAATGTGGTGTAATGTAATGCAAATTCTTAATTCTTAACTGTTTCTTAGCTACTGCGTGATTATAATAAAACTCCAGCGTGTGGTACTTCCTTGTAATGAAGTAGCTTACATACTATAGTGAGAACATTCAAATTTTTATTTCAAATAAGCAAACAATTGCTGATTGTTTAAAAGAACTTGGTAAAATACTCTTTAAACCTATGGAAAAGAACATAAAATGCTTTAAATATAACAAACCATACCAATGTATAATGAGCCTGAAAATAATTTTTGAAAAGGGAAAGCACATAGGAGTGAATAACAGGAATAACAGTTTTCTCCATTATTTTTTTTTTCATGTCAAAGACACAGAAATATTGAAACAAAGTAAAATTGCCTTAGTTGCAGAATAAAACCATTAGTTGTCTGCATGTGATGGTGTTTTCTCAATCATCTGAATGTGCTCTTTGGCTTTGAGACGTGGAGAGGAATTGGGTATTATGTATATTTCATCTTTTTATGTATATTTCATCTTTTTAGTGGCCAAGTAAGAAATAAATAAGATCTCTCCAACGTGGCTTAGCTCTACAGGTATTCAAAACTCTGAAACCATGTCCTCATCAGGAGGCCATAAACTGGAGAGCTGGAGATAAGGCTGGGTACAGCGAAAGCCTTGTTCATGTAGCATTGTTATGAAGAGAGCATGTCATTGGTTTCTGTAGAGAATAATAGAGAGGATATAGGAGGGAACATGACACAAAGTTTTCCATTGATTAAACTATGCCCCAATTTCAAACTCCCTCTACCCACTTTGCATCACTCACATTGCATGTGATAAGCTCGCCACAGTGATGGCTTACCCCCAGAAAATCAGCTTTAAGAGTTCTCATTCACATTACTGTATCTGCTACACAGAATGCTGTAGGTTAGCAATATTTCAAGAAAAATTATTAAAAACTGTCTATCTTTACCAAAAGCACATGCATTCTTGAAAATAAAGAACTCCAAAGAGTCCATCCATCATTAAGTTCATGGAAGAATTCTTTCCGTATTTGTAAGAAGTGTCTTGCTTTTGCTTCAGTTAAAGAAGAAAGAATAATTGCTCATTCTACAGGTTAATTTGGGAGGGAATGGTACTTGGGATCACACCAGCAATAGTTGAAAAGAAACATAGGTATATCTGCCTGTAAACAGTATAAATAGCAATGTAATTAGATGTTACTTGGAAAACTGAGACTACATGAAAAATATCATAATGCTAACATATTCAGAAGAAAATACATAAGATGACAAACAGAATCAATGAGTAACTCAAAATGAATGTATTTCTTTTTCTTCCCCAGTGCCAGTGCTGGCCTGGATTCCGGCTGAAGGATGATGGCAAAACATGTGTAGATATTGATGAATGTTCATCTGGATTTCCCTGTAGCCAGCAGTGCATCAACACTTATGGAACTTACAAATGCTTGTGTGGAGATGGGTATGAAATACAGCCTGATAACCCAAATGGCTGCAAATCCCTTTCAGGTATCACTTTTTTATTTTTTAATGCACAACTTTATCCAAAATAATTTGTTAGCTCCAAGGTCTGTGTTACCTTTTTATGCAAGATAAACAAGACTTACTCTGAAGTGCACTACTTCTTCAATAAACAGTAAGAATGTGATTCAATGTCTGGATGTAATAATTTCTCTTTTTAGTATGTATTATGCTCAGAATATTTTTAATGAATACTTACAGTGGATTATGAAAGTTTGACTTAGTAACTGTGTTAGAAAAAGTATTAGGAAACTTAAAATACATCATTTCATTCTACTTCTGAGTCACATGGTAATAGTATGTTTCTGATAAGTGTTTAAAAAACTTCTGGTTTATGTCATCAGCTTTAGAATATTAGAATGTATGCCAAGCTTCCTGGTATGAAAAAGGAACAGGAAAAAAAAATAGAAGTTGCAAAATCCATTATTCCTGTAGCATATGAAATCCTCCAGTCTTACATGAAATGCAAAGTTCAAAATATATAAGAACATTGGTTATTTCCTCACCCCTCTGTCTATGGCCCCAATGTTATTTTTATATGCTTCAGTGAGTAGGATTCACTAGATCGGTGAAAGGAAGAGCAAAATGTCAACAGGAAAAAAGCAAAAATCCCATTACTGCGTTCTGCTGGAATTCCTTCATTGTGCAGACAGTCTTCAGCTTGAGCAGACTCCTTCATATTCCAGTCTTGCACAAAGTTGTTTGTTTGTCTTTTGATTTTAAATATTTAAAAAAAAAAAAAAATCTATTTTCTTTCTAAATGGCAAGAAGACTGGAACCTCGGTCAGTCTGCCTTATATTCTTGTCTCATCTTCTTCCCTGAGTAATCAGATGAAACAGAGGAGAGGGCAGAAATGCAGTATCTGTCTTTTGCTTTACTCCTGCCTCATGCCTCGCAAACCACTTGTACATTTTGAAGCCATAGATCACTCAAACGAGAAGGGGAGCTGGAACACATCATAGTACAGTTTGTTGGAGTTGTAATATATCAAACTTCCAAAGTGATCACGACAAAGCTGTTCGGGTTGTGGCTAGAATGGTTGTGCTGCGAGGAGGTGCCAACACATGAATGTTTGCCCTCATGCTAATTTCTTGCATAAATTTCCTTGAACTCTTAGAGCAGAATGTTAAAGCCCTTCCCCACAAAGCACTAACAGTCGGTGCTGAGGATGATGTCTTGGATCGTTTAAAAACTGGAGAATGTCTTAAGAGGTGGAGCGACCACACAACCACAGTTGTACAATGTATTCAGTGCAAGAGCAGAGTAGGGTGGACAACGTGTTACATTCCAGACTCTATGAGCAGTAGACACAAGTCTTAAATACATCTTTAATTATTAGTAGTAATTGTTTTATTGCAGCTGAAGTCTCTCAGCTGCAATACAGCTAAATAAAGGTCAATAGAGCTAAAATAATGACAGCTTTTTAAAGATTTTATTTTTTATTTTTTTACTATTATATATGTCAGTGTCAGAGGTGTTTCAAGATAAGTGGTGGCATGAATGAGTGTCTGAAGGAATATTTTTTGATAAACTAGAAGACTGAGGGTAAGAAAGACCAAATTTGGCTTCAGTTAAGAATTAGAAAATCAAGGTTTGTCCAAATAGCTATTTCTTTATGTCTATACTGTTCAGAGTATTGAAATCTCAAAAAGCAACAGTCAAAACGTTCTTGGTTTGCAACAATAACAAACAATAGTCTTAGTGATAATTTGAAAATGAATGTTGAAATTAAAACAAGTGGTATGAAATATATTTCAAATTTAACTCTGTTATTAAATTAGCATAAAATACAGTATGGTTCCCGTATTACAAAGGCAAAAAAAATTAAATAACATTGAAAAATATACTAATTGATTGCTTTGTTCATTTTTATACTGCATCATTGATCTTTCTTGGAACATTTGAATGTTTTAAATATTTCTTTCATCCATAACATTGATCAGAGCATGTAACATTTATTTTTCAAACCATCTGTATTTCAGCATTGTATTCCTGATTTTCCATAAATTAACGTAAAAGCTAGTCTAATATATTCTTTCTCCCGGGGTTTAGATGAGGAACCTTTCTTAATTCTGGCTGATCATCATGAAATAAGAAAAATTAGCACTGATGGATCCAACTACACTTTGTTGAAACAGGTATAATCATAGTACCATGCTCTAAGTTTAACTCAATACTTTTATTCTTTCCTAAAGTGTGCAGCTGACAGAAACATCATGCTACAATTGGCATTGTATGCACCACAGAACAACTGCAGTATCTTCAGAGCTTTCATAATATTTTAAATTTATCATTTTATCTGAATTTGGCATGATTAAAGTTCAGGCAGTTGTTTCGTCAGTCATTCAGATGTAGTAAAAATAATTGTTATTTGTGATCCTCTCCCATCACAATATATTTTGAGCAATTTATATATTTCAGTTAAATAAAAAGCAAACAAACAGAACCTATTTGGCCATGTATTATTTGGGCTACTTAATGTTATAATCTAAATCTACTTTTTGGTTTAGATAATTCCAAGACCTACAGTATTACAATATGTGAACATATATCTTTGAATAAATCTAATTTTTTAAACAATTACTCTAAATTATTATTATAGGAAAAAAGCCCCAACCTTATTTGAAAAAAGCCTACTAAAATAGAAAGTCACCCCGTAATTACAGAGCTGTCATTTTTATCTGTTTCTGCTCTGCTTCTATGCTTCACCTAAGTGTAGTTATTTACCAGAGATTAGAGTTCCAAAATATGTTTTAATAGGAACATCTATTTCCTCAAGTACTAATTAATCTGATGAATCTCTGGAATGTGGCAAGTATAACAAAAGTAGAGTAAACAGAACAATTTTAGACTGTTAACTGTAAGGCCTTCCTTAAGGTCTGTTAATTTAAGTCACTATTGTGATTTGTGATTCACTTTTTAAATTTTTTTTTTTTAATGTTAACTTGTAAATTATGCATTAATGAACACAATTAGGTATCAACTTGGCGCTGGAGCTACAGTGACAAATAATTTGCTATAGTTGTGACTTATGGTTCATTGTTAATAACATTTAACAGAATTTAAAAATGTATAGTATATAATTTCTTGTTCGTTATGCATGTCTTTTTTTTATATCTTTGTTTCTATATGCATTTTTCTATCAAATAATAATCTTTGTCATGATTATCACTGCAGTTAAATCATATCAACTAAAGCCATACATGAATTTTCAATTTTCACCATTCATATGCATTTAGGATTTCTTACATTATGTGTCTATCTGTACAGTATATCTAGGCCATACTCAGAAATGGTCATCTATATAAATGATATTTATGGAAAATACAGAGCAAATTTTCTGTTCAAAAAGGCAAATAGTTCATTATTATGCCTCATTTTGTGCAGTTAAAATCTATATTGCCTATTTACTCTATTAGATTTGCTCAAGGGATGAGAACCACAGCAGAAGATAGGTAGCTATGTATTTTAGATGTTTCTGTTGTAAACACCACCTGAAGATTGTATGTGCATAAATAATGCAAGTAGACATGCAAAGATTGTAAGAAAAAAGCATGTTTGATATTTGCATTTAATGAAATTTTTCACGTGAAGTTTGTCAAACATATAATGGAATGTTGTAGGAAAAGAATATAATTGTAACAAATAAGAACTTACTCATTTGGTGGTCATATAAAGAAGAGATTTCATCAACATCACTTAGAACTGTGTATGACATGGAAAAAAAATCTGTTCCTGTGATGAATTGGGCAGTTGCCCAATTTCCTTTTTCTCTCTATGCTCACCAGAAGTATGCTGGTACTTAAAGAGGGAACGGCCATTCCTGCCCCATCAACATTAAATGGGTCAGATCAGGAGAGCACCTTTGAAGCGAATCCCCCACTGCTCGCATGGAATTGTGTCGAAGCAAGTTGAACTGACTGGAAAAAAAAAAAACCTCACAAAAAAACCCTCTAAAGTTGTGCCAGTTGATATACTTCAGGTAGCGATGGACATGAAGACCATAAGAGTAGAGGAGAAATAAAATCCTGAAATTCATCGAAGTGGGATAATCGGTTCTCCTAACCAGTTGTTTCGTTCTGCTGCTCTCTCACTGTCCCACACCACCTGCCAGTGTAGACTTCTTCCTTGAAGAAAGAAGGGGAATGAACACACCTTTCCTTGCAAACTCCATTTGTGTTTGACTCATGTAAACTACAGCATTGTGTTTTGAAAGGAGCAGTTTGCAACAATAAGCTCTGCTTAGTTCTTATAGTTTAAATAGTTCTTATACAGTTCTTAGAACTGCTTAGTTCATATAGTTTAAATCAAATCAGGATCAAAGCAGGTTATTGATTTATTAATGACAGATAACTCATCGGAAAAGGGTGAACTATGCATTCAGTATCAATAGCGGCAATGCAATGGGCAACTATGGCTAACCATTCCATAACTAGTCCCAAAAATTTCTGACCACACAGAGCAGAGTTAGGCTCACCTTCTGCCCTAGCCCAGGACACAGAGTTCCAAGCATATGTGCCTGCTAATCCTTAAAACAGTGACAAATAAATAGCGATGGTTTGACAGACTTTTGGAAAAAGCAGGAGGAGGAAACAGCAGTGGAAACAGAGTATGTACAAATTCCTGATCTAATAGTAGTATGGACCTGCCTTCAGGCGCTGGCTCTATTGAATTTCTACTGAGTAAACTGAAATCTACAGCAACATTTGTTACATGTTGCTGTGCCCCAATGCAATTTTTTATTAGCTAGTAATCAAATAAACAGCTGCACCTAGTATAGTAATATCATTATAGTGTAATTTTTGGAAAGGGTTACATTCGATGAGAAAGGGAGCTACTTGTAGAGAGTAGGAATCAAATTCCAAAACGGACTTTTCAAGGTGTTGGCAGGATGTAACCGCCTAATTCACTGAATTTTAAACATGTGATTTCTGATTTGACTGCAAACTAGGTACCCTGATCATAGCTCTCAATAGCAAAAATAAAAAAACCCCAAACCCAAGGTACTCTTCAGCAGCCATTCTACTGAATGGGATGAAATTTGTTTTGAAATATATTCCTAAAAGCTGAATTAAGGAAATCGTTCTAAAAATCTAGATTTTCCTTTCCATTGGTATCAATGAAAGGGATATTTTCTTGATTTTTCTAGAGCATTTTTCAGATACAATATAAAAATGAGACTGATTAGAGGAACCAGTTTGGAATCTGCATCTAAGCAGATTCTAAAAGTTCACAATCATTCTAATCCTTAAAAATTTTTTTGATGCAGGTTTTGATTCCATTGTCCGGTCTTTTAAATTAAATTTTAATAATTAATTACTTTTAAACAAAAAAATAGTAATAGTTCAAGTTGGGGAAAGCATGAGAAGAAAATATATTATCCCTAAATTACATCTCCTGTTGCTGCTGTCAGAGACAGAATACTGAGGTAGATGAGCCACTGTCTCATCCGGGAATGTATTTCTTATGTTCTTGAAAAAGAAAAAAAAAAAAATTTAGGAAGTGTATTAAAAAATACAAAATTTCATTAAGAAATCAAACGACAAATACAGGAATGGGAAGGATTTTCTGGTTTCAATTTCCAGTTTCTTTACACCTTGTCATCCAGAGAGCAGAGGCAATGTTGAGCAAACCCCTTGTATGGCACGTTTGTAGTGACCTTTCTGATGATGACGTACTTGTGAAATGCTGGAGACATGAGGTAAACTGTTGGCTGTAAAATCTTGCATGCAGAGGTGTCTCACGCAACCAAGAAGCTTCATCTTTTTCTGAATCAAGCAAGCCTATCTTCTTTCAAGCATGATCTATGTAAAAAAAAGAGGAAAACAAAAAAAACAAACACACATTCAGGAGACCACAGAATTCTTTGAATTCCAAGTAATGTTTGTAACTGATGTAATAACATGTTGCATTTTGAAAATAGTACATTAACACATTTCTATATGGTAACTACAGATATACAAGAGGTTTAAAGCTCTTGATATAGACAGATATCTCATGACAGATGATCAAATGTTATATCTCCTTCTGCTATCATAAAAAAAAGCTGTACTAGATAGCAGGAAATGCAGTAATTAGGAAAAAAGAACAAATATTAACTTTCTACTTCTAGAGTAGAAAGTTATCAGTGTTCATTTCAGATGTCTACAGCTTCAGCAGTTAAATCAAAGGTGCAGTAGTTACTGTAATTTAGATATGTTTCTTGGAAGAATCAAATTTTTTGAGCTTAAAATCTGCATTTTTTTTCAAGAGGAAAAAATGTTAAAAATAATTCAATATAATTTGGGTTTTTTTCAAATAAGTTGCAAAATCATTAGTCATAATCAGAGTGAGTGTTGCTTTGTTGTTCTTACTTTGCAACCATATTTTTTTTCTTGAGTTTTAAGCTAAATAAAGGCCTACTTTGAAGGCTCTTTTAAAGGACTACAGATTATTGGAGGCATAATTTATACATATAGAATACAGGAAAAATTATGCTTTTCTTTCCCAAACAGGAACCTAAGTTTTTTGATAGTTGGTTTAGTGTTATGACGCTTACAAGTAAACATCTTACAAATTCAAGGTGAATTTTCCCTCTGGGAATTTTTCAACCTTCATGTTTCAAAATTTAATAGAAAAAACTAAATTTGTGCTGACTTGTCTAAATTTTTCTACTACTTTGTTGTTTTTGAACTCTAGGTTAAACAGTTGGGTTCTAAGAAGCAAATACCTGTCTGTGGTTTCTTTACTTCATTATTTATAATATTTATCTGTTAAAAATCCACTTTAACTTTGAAAATGTATGCATTTTGTATATACTGATTTTGTGGCCATCTTAGAAAATTAATGTTTAGTCTGGTTAAAATGATTAGTGTTCTGCATATTTTAAAGGAAAAGCATATAGTAGCAAGCATATTGAAAAATATTTGCTGGGTATAGTAATTTCTAAAATTTCTGTTAGAAAGCTATTTCCTAATAATACCACAAAAATTTAAATTACACCTAAAAGAAAATATATTTATTATTAAGAGCTGCATAAATATGTGGGAATTGTTTCATGACTATACTGTGCTGCGTAAGAGACATTTGACTTCTCTCTCAGTTGGTAGACACGTAATGTATAAGCATATAAGGCTTTGTATCTTTTTATGGAACAGGA